AACTAAGAGATTTTGTTGCGCCTAATGTTGATTGGTCCATAACAATGCTCGTTAGGATTCGATCCCCGATAGATCCAGAAGTACTATCCACCACTGCTGTTGATTGGCTCCAGTTGTGGTGGGACATTTCATAAACTGTCATTTGCTGGATTTGAAGTCTAGTGGTTGTTCTTGGTCCACCCAGGGAATTTGTGCGGGAGGAATGGAATGTGGCCATCTTGGAGGTGATGGGACTTGATGGCCCTGTTCCTGCCTTGCTGGAATAGGACAATGGGATTTGACCACACATACAATAGATGCAAATAGGATTTCCCAGGAGAGGGTCTGATCTGGCAATTGGGATGATGAAACAGTCCCAGGAAAATGTTAAGATAATATCTGAAAAGAACCTTGTGGCTCTTCCCAAACCTGTTATGTATCCTGTGAGTCTCTCAGGGCACTGTGAAGCAATTATGGTAACAAAATGGTTGGACTTTCCCTGAGGCGTAGGGTGTCTGTAGTGCAGTGGTTCTCAACCTGTGGGTCCTCAGGGTTTATTTATTTATTTATTTATTTATTTCAGGCATTTATATCCCATCCTTCTCACCCCAGGAGGGGGACTCAGAGCGGCTTACAACCAGCAACCATTAGATGCCAACAGCAATAATAAAAACACAATTAAACATTAATTAAAACAACGTCATAAGTTAAAAAGACCATTTAAAAGAGACAAATCCAAGTCCAAATCCAGAGTCATAATTCAAAATCCATCCATTGTCAGTCACATAATTCCTTGATAATTGTTACTGCTGCGACTGTTACTCGAAAGCTTGGTCCCACAGCCATTATTTCAATTTCTTCCTGAAGGATAGGAAAGAGAGGACTGGCCTGATTTCGTTAGGGAGCATGTTCCACAAATGGGGGCTACCACCAAGAAGGCCCTGTCGCTCGTCCCCACCAGATGCACCTGTGAAGGCGGTGGGATCGAGAGCAGGGCCTCCCCCAACGATCTTAACTTCTGAGGTGGCTCATTGAGGGAGAAGTAAGCTGGGCCAGAACGATTTAGGGCTTTATAGGCTAAAGCCAGCACTTTGAATTGTGCTCGGTAGCAGACTGGCAGCCAGTGGAGCTGATGTAATAGTGGGGTGGTATGCTCCCTGTACCACGTTCCAGTGAGCAATCCAGCTGCTGCCCGTTGGACTAGATTCAGCTTCCGAACTGTCTTCATAGGCAACCCCACGTAGAGCATGTTGCAGTAATCTATCTGGGAGGTAACAAGAGCGTGGACCACCATGGCCTACAACTCCCAGAAATCCCAGCCAGTTCCCAGTTAGGATTTCTGGGAGTTGAAAGTCAAAACATCTGGGGACCCACAGGTTGAGAACCACTGCTGTAGTGCTTATGCAACATTTAGGTGAGTTCATTGAAGGGTTGCCTGATGCTCAGGAAAGGATAATCACAGGTTTCTTGTTGGTTCCTATGGAGCAGTGGTTCCCAACCTTTGGTCCTTCGTGTGTTTTGGAATTCAACTCCCTGAAATCGTAGCCATTTTACCAGCTGTTAGGAATTGTGGGAGTTGAAGTCCAAAACACCTGGAGGATCAAAAGTTGAAAACCACTGCTATGCACAAATTCCGAGGTTCACCTTTGGGAATCCAGTTTTTGACAACATTTTTTTTTGCTTTTATTATTGGATAAGCGAATTAATTGCAAGCAATTCTTCATTTGTAACTACTTTAAAATTCTGCTGCCATTGCTTTCCATCTAGTCCATTCTTCTATACCCTTACCAATCCACCATCTCTCCTCCCAGTGTAATCCCTCCTACCATAACATTCTTTCTCCCAGTTCCATTAGCAACCACTCTGGAAAACTGTCAACTGTTCAGATCCTCTGTAATGGGATTACTTTGCCATGCTACAAATATGCTCTAAAAGGCAGTCAAGGCGCTTCACATCAGCTCCCCTCCAACAATGATTTGTCTTACTGCATGGCAAAAATTATTTAGCACAAAATTTAAGAGAAGTGAATGAACTAGCCTGGTGCACAGAAAATCTCTTCCTCTAGTACAGTGGTTTTCAACCTGTGAATCCCCAGATGTTTTTGTCCTTCAACTCCCAGAAATCCTAACAACTGGGAAACTGGCTGGGATTTCTGGGAGTTGTAGGTCAAAACACCTGGGGACCCACAGACTGAAAACCACTGCTCTAGTGGGCATATTATATTTTGTTGGGAATCGGAGCTGTCATGCTAAAAAATAACCCTCACTTGGGGTGATTCCACTAAAAATATAGCCGAGTGCCAGAAGCATGCTTCAGAACCAGCAGAAACTTGCGTGTGGCAAGTCAGGATTAGCTTCCATTCGTAGAGGATGGCACAGGATTGCAGAGTCACAAGGCTAGCTTCAAAATATGTATTGGAATAAAAAGAAATCTATTCTAGATAGAAACCGTCTTGGAAATAACTAGCTTACTGAGCTAATATTCTAAGAAATGGAAAAAAATTATAAAATTTCAAAGTATCCATGCAGCTACATTTTGCCTGGAGAATGGCAAAATGCCTCCTCACTGGAAGGAAGACAAAGACAGAAGAAAAAGGGCAATGGAGAATGACCACATGGCCAACAAGCCAGGGCAATATCTTTAAAGAGGAAGTTACCTCATCCCTCACAGAAATTCCATTGCTACGTCTTCAAAGCGGGGCGAAAATAGTGACAAAGAAGAAGAGTAAGACTAAGCCCCTTTTGGGATAAGCATGCATAGGAATGTGGGGGGAAGAATCTCTCACTTTTATCCCATCTAGTCTACTCATTGACGACTGGAGACAGGGGCGGCTCAACCCATTACACAAAGTAAGGATTTGCAGTATAGTTGATTTTCCCCAGGGGTGCTCTTGAGGCGCTCTTGGGGGAAAATAGATCTCGACATATGCAAGTTGTAGTTTCTGGGATGTATAGTTCACCTACAATCAAAGAGCATTCTGAACTCCACCAATGATGGAATTGAACCAAATATGGCACACAGAACTCCCATGATGAACAGAAAATATATATCAGTGATTGGTTGGGGGGGGGGGGCAAAATATTGTTTGCTTACCATCGAAAATTATCTAGGGCTGCCTCTGACTGGAGACTTGTGCAGTAAGAGATGAAACCCAACATATTTTGGTTAGGCAAATCATGCTGACCTGTTTGAAGAGCTGCTACTTCTGCCTTCTAAGAAATAGCAATAGAACCCACAAATTCCCTTGGTTTAAATCCATGGCCTCGATCCTAGCTAAGATCCTTTGCATGCCCCCATATTTACCAAGAGGGTTAAGGGCAGCATGTTGGTACACAGCAGTGTTTTCCAAACTGTGCTCCTCCCAGTGTTTTGGACCTCAGCTCCCAGAAATCCCATCCAGCTTACCAGCTGTTAGGAAATGTGAGAGCTGAAGTCCAAAACATCTGGAGGAGCAGAGTTTAAGAAACGCTGCTCTACAGGATTAAGGGACAAATAAGTTAGTTTAAATGATGGCACAAAGTATTTTTGTATTTATTTTTTTAAAAAAACTGTATTTACATAATAAAACTTACAAAAATATCTCAAAGTATATTTTCTAGCTTTTGTTGATACAATTTTTTCAATAACTGCAGTAAAATTGATTTGTTTAACTCAACCATGCTCATTTATAGACTGCATTCCCAGATATCAAGTGAAGAGAGAAAGTCTCCAAAGGGCCCCCAGAGTGGCATTGAGACAGAAATGTCCAGGTTTGTCCCCAGCCCAATCTGCACCTCTGTAGCTGTCTTCTCTGGTTGGATTAGTCGGCAGTGCCTTTCATGTTACTTGATTTGTGTTTGGGCATTGCTGCATTTGGGAGTCCCTATGTAGACTTGTCTACAGCTGCATGGTATATGATAGACTCCTGCAGAGGTGAGATGATCCCTCTTGTCCTTTGCTGAACGTAGCATTTGTTGGATTTTCTTAGTAGGTCTGTAGATAGTTTGTAGGTTGTGTTTCTTCATCAACTTCCCTATGCGGTCCTTGGTTCTCTTGATGTATGGTAAGGACACTTGTCCTCTTAGTGGGCGTTTGTCTTGATTCTCGTGGCTTGTTCTTGGTCTTGCAGCAATTCTGATGTCTGTGGTGGAGTCTCCATTGGCTTGTAGAACTCTGTTTAGGGTGGTTCACTTCACCTTGGAGGAGGTGGGGCCAACCATAGCAGAGCACTTGATGAACCAACCTAGACACAGCATATTATTGGAGAACACATAAATGCTGGACCACTCTCACAACTGCCATATCAGACTACACAGAGAAGCCACTGAAATACACAAGCATGTGGACAATTTCAATAGAAAGGAGGAAACCATGAAAATGAACAAAATCTGGTTACCAGTATTTTAAAAAACCTTTAAAATCAGGACAGTAAATAAAGAATAACTCTCAGAAATCAGGGGAATTCCAGACAGGAAACAATCAAGGCCAGCTAACATCTCCCAACAAAAGATTTCCCCCAGGCAGCAATAACTAGGTTTTGAAGCTGTAAGACCATTCAATATGAATCAAGGTGCCTAATTGCAACATTCACACTTGCCTCAAAGAGACATGATTTCTTTCTCCCACCCTGGACAACATTCCATGGATACATAAAACCCCACTTGCCTAGTTTCCAACAGACTTCACAACCTCTGAGGATGTCTGCCATAGGTGTGGGTGAAACATCAGGAGATAATGCTTCTGGAACATGGCTAGACAGCCTGGAAAACTCACTGCAACCCATGAAAGCCTTTGATGACACAACCTGTTAATTGCCCCCTGTTGTTAAAGCAACACTTTTCAATGGTCTCCTGTGGGAGAATGCAGGAAAGGAGCGATGTCATGTGATATGAAGCTAGAAAATGGCATGGACGCATTCTAACCACTATACCAAAGGGAGAACTTTGCAAACATTCAGTAACCAGATCTGAATATAATCAGGTGGAACTAGGGAGAGTTTTCCCTTATACCAACTTTCTCCCTCCCCTTTACATTTTTAACAGGATTGGCTGACAAGATTTGGCTATTTGCCACCTCCAGATCCAATCACGGGTCAACTGCAGACGCAAGAAGAACTCGCAAAAGCCATTATGACCATGCAACAGTTTGGAGGTCTGGAAGTCACGGGAATTCTAGGTGAGCGGAGAATCAGGACTGGGAAAATATCTACTGTTTCCAGTGCGCAGGGAAGGCAAATGCCATGATTCCCTGGTAGACAACCTGCCTTCCCATTTTTTTCTGCCTCCCTAAACAAAGAATGTAATTCGAGGCTCTTGGTTTTAAAATCTGTCTGTTTTTATTTGGGCTGCTCTATGAACATTGCTTCTTGCGATATTGTTGACATAATGCAGTTATTAATGGGATTGTGTTAATTTGTTGCATTCCATTTGTGTGGGGTTCTAATATCTATAAGGCAGCCAGAGGTATACAAACGTGGTGTTATGAACTACCATACAGTGTTGCAAACATCATCAACACCCTGTTGTCTCAGCGCTTTGTTTTGGGAATTTCTGGACATTTTAGATGAAGCCACATTGAAATTGATGAAGACCCCCAGATGCTCTCTTCCTGATCTTTTGCAATCCGAGCCAAGGACAATGCGACACACACCGGCTGTGACCAAGTGGAACAAAAGGAACTTATCTTGGAGGTAGGTATTAAACCTTTCCCTCTGCCAGTGTTGTGGGAAAGATTAAATCAAGACAGATGTGCATAAGTGTGACCACTTGTATACCTGAATGTACTACCACTGACTTGAGAGTGTTGAGACATTTCTCTCTTTCCAACTCCCAAGTGTGTTCTCTCAGGCCCCTTCTACACTGTCCTTATATCCCAAAATCTGATCCCAGATTATCTTCTTATCCCAAATTCTGTGAATCTAAACATCTTGAGGACCATATTAAATGAAAGCGCAATATGTATGTGTGAAAATCTGCTAATGCCCAATGCATTCTACAATCTTTGCTCATTTTCCATCATGCTGTACCCAAAAAGACTTGGAGGGGACTGGGCTGGGATAGACGTGCAGCATATCAGCATGTCAATGTGTCCCCAAATTCATTTCACTCACCCCACTTACTTGCCTTGGGCTCCTAGTCCTGGAAGAGAAGGCAAATGGCACATTACTTTCTTATTTCACAGTTGAGCAGTGAGCCACTGTCAGAGAATGAGAGAAATCCATGATGTTTTGTATCAAATTGCACTGCTATTGAACAAATATGAGGTTCTCTTTTGTCAATGTCTTGATATTTATCATGAAGCAGCATTTGTGATGGGATAGTTGCATATAAACAAATAAAAATGAAGCTTAATTTGTTTTTGCAATATACATGTTTTGGCTGATTAATCCGCTAATATAATAATAATAATAATAATAATAATAATAATAATAATAACAACTACTACTACGGAATAGTTATTATGCAGTCTTGCACTTCATTCCACGCCCCCTTCCATGGTTACAGCTCTGAACTTATCCCATTCTCTTGTCCTATTGTTTACAGCCTGGTCACATTTATAGTAGCTTACCATAAACTTGTTGAACACTGTTTTATTTGACTCTTAAGTTTTTGTTTTATATGCCTATATGTTTTATTCAATTGCATTTTATATGGTGTTTTATTTTGTGGTCTGTTTTTGAGCATCTTGTGCTGTTTGTAAGCTGCCACAAGTCTCTTCAGGGAGATGGAGGCAGGATACAAGAATAAAGTTGTTATTGTTGTTGTTGTTGTTGTTGTTACACTTTATTTATATTCCGCCCTTTGCCCCTTGGGGACTTAGAGTGGATTACAGTTAAAACAGATACATTCAATGCCTGTTACAATACAATGAGACACACAAACACAAACAAAGGAAGAGACTTTTCCTTTCATTTCCGGCTTTGGAGACGGTGCTCATCTCTGGCTCTAGGGAGGTGCTGTTCTCCATTTCCAAGCCAAGGAACCTGCATTGCCACCTCTTGGTCATGTGACTGGCATGACTGTTTCAAGTGTCTTATGTCTTTTCCCACCAAAGCAGTACCTATTTATCTACTCACATTTGCATGCTTTCAATGTTCTAGGTTGGCAGGAGCTGGGCTAACAGCAGAAGCTCATCCTGTCTCGTGGATTCGAACTGCCAACCGTCAGGTCAGCAGTTCAGCAGCATAAGGGTTTAGTTCATTGCTCCATCATGTATTCAGCAGAATATGTCCTTTTTACATCTTTCCTTTTTATATATAAATTACATTTAGATCCAGCCTTTCCTCCAGTAGGTTCAAGATAGCATACATGGCTCTCATTCTTTCCATTTTATCTTCTCAACTGAGACTAACTTTCCAAAGTTTGGTTTCAATAGGGATTAAAAGCTGTATAACCCAACTGTGCAATCCATCACTAATGTACATTCGTATTGTTATCCTGGGCCCTCTGGTGATGCAGCAGGTTAAACCGCTGAGCTGCTGAACTTGCTGACTGAAAGGTTGGCAGTTTGAATCTGGGCAGTGAGTTGAGCACCCACTGTTAGGCCCAGCTTCTGCCAACCTAGCAGTTTAAAAACATGCAAATGTGAGTAGATCAATAGGTATCGCCTTGGCGGGAAGGTAACAGTGCTCCATGCAGTCATGCTGGCCACATGACCTTGGAGGTGTCTACGGATAATGGAGATGAGCACTACCTCCCAGAGTTGGGCACAACTTAAGTCTAATGTCAGGGTAAACCTTTACCTTTACCTATTGTTATCCTAGTTTTTAATTTTTCGCTGTGCTACCCTGAATGACCATTTAATGTGAAGATAGAGTTAAGAATCAGGCAGAGAGATAGCTAGATTATATGCATTTTCATAAAAACACAGGCCCTGTACCTATCTCCAGTTGCTTTCTTTGATTCCAGAGTGCGAACTTTCCCCAAGGAGTCTCATCTAGGCCATGATACAGTTCGGGCTCTTATGTACTACGCATTGAAGGTATGGAGCGATATTACACCTCTGAATTTCCATGAAGTAGCAGGCAACAATGCCGACATCCAGATTGACTTTTCCAAAACTGATCACAATGATGGATACCCCTTTGATGGCCCCGGGGGCATGGTGGCACACGCCTTTTCCCCAGGGGAACACCATACGGCTGGAGACACACATTTTGACGATGACGAATCGTGGACTTTCCGATCATCAGGTATGTCTGGGTAAGGAAGTAGTAGAAATATTGAGAAGTCTACCTTTTCCTTTGATTCTTCCTGGTGAAAGAAGAAGAGAGAGAAATAAAAGAATATAGGCGTTTGTGGAAATAAAGAATTTCCAATGGAACAATTGCAGGCAGGATCAAATCCAAGCAAGGACTGCTAGAGCCAGGCATGTAGCCCGGGGGGGGGGGGGAGCTTGAGGGGCTTCAGCCCCCCCCGCCCCCCCCCCCCTGCTCCCGCCACACGCACCTCTATGGCGGCCCCCCCACCCGCCGCCCCCCCCCCCGAAATTCTCATAGTGGTTCGAAAAGGCCTTACTGGTGCATTATTTAAATTGTTATGTTTATTCATATCATGATCTGATCACCACTCAATATATCCCATATGCATGGGGGTATTGGGGTAATGATACAAAAGGTTTGCTAGGGTAGACCCTCTTTCACTCAGACTCAGCCCCCCCCCCCCCCGCCCCGAATCGAAATCCTGGCTACGGGCCTGGCTAGAGCCATAGGAGAACTATTCCTCTGGATTATCAGACTACAGTTGTAGAATCTATTGCTCCAGCAAGAGCCAGGCATTAGAGTCCATCGACAGATGGCAAAAGTGTCACAGCACAGCATGGCCGTTTTGCAACTCCTTCTTCAAGCAGCAGCAATAATTTTGTTTATCAGTTTTGGTGTTGGGAGGAAGGGATTCAGAGCAAATACCTGAAGCAAGGAGGAACCCTTTCTCTCATGCAGAGAGCATGTGGAAACAAGGATTGGTGAAACACTTCATGGCCTGGGAAAGGCCCCAAACATGGTGAAAATGCCCCCATGTACCCCCAGAGGACATTTGGGGTAGAACATTATTTTTCTTGTGAGAGCAGGAGTGGCAGAGGGATGTTGCAGGCTCAAGTCTTTTACCGTTTTCCAGCTCTTTTAAAACAAATATTGTATTACAAAAGGATGGGAACAAAAGTGTGTACCCATGTATACATCATCTCACTCTTGTTTTCAGATGCCCATGGGATGGACCTGTTTGCTGTGGCAGTCCATGAGTTTGGCCATGCCATTGGCTTAACCCACATCTCTGCTGCTGAGTCGATCATGAGGCCCTATTACCAAGGCCCTGTTGGGGATCCCCTGAAATACGACCTGCCTTATGAAGACAAAGTTCGGATCTGGCAGCTATATGGTGAGTCAGTGTTCTTATGGGCCCATTTTGCATTGATTGTGTTGCCACTCAAACAGTACTCAGAAACAAATCTCCAAATGTAGGAAACCAATTATAGCTTTTTCTTGGGCTTTCTGCAGAAAGGAGTGGGAGGTCACCCTCTAGAGCAGGGTTTCTTAAACCCTTTCCTTTCGTGACCCCTTTCCACCCAAGACATTTTTCATGACTCGAGGTGTATAGGTATATGAAATTGGTATAAAAATCAAACATTTACTGATAATAAATGAGCATTTGCAAGGCTTGCTAAACAGGCTGATTTTGTGAAGTACAGCTGAAGCATCTTCTGCAGAGTCCACTGTAAATTTTGTGTGTTATTGCTGACAGATTTGTGTAATGTTTAAAAGAGCCACAAGATGATTGTCAGGAACCTTTTAGTGTTGCCAGATTTTTCATGACCCCCAACATTGAGCTAAGAATTGGGGTCGTAACCCATTTGGGGTCATGACCCATGGTTTAAGAAGCAGTGCTCTAGAACAATGGTTCCCAAGCCTTTTCAATCATGCAACCGGGCTGGGGGGTGAGGTGTCCCATGACTTAAAAGGTTTGGGAACCATTGTTCTGGAGTTAGGGTTTTGTGGGAAAATCAAGGACAGAGTTAGGATTTTCGGGGCGGGGGGGTTGTCACTATGGAACCATAACTTTGTCTTTGATGTTCCCACAGAACTCTAACTGTGTCCCTAAGCATTGTGAACCTGGAGAACCAATTTTTCATTTAACTTGTTTGTTCCGCTTTGGTCACATTCTTAGTCAAAACAGCAATTTTCCCCTTGGACCCATCATCATCATCACCATCATCATCATCATAGAATCATAGAATCCTAGAGTTGGAAGAGACCTTGTGGGCCATCCAGTCCAACCCCCTGCCAAGAAGCAGGAAAATCGCATTCAAAGCACCCCCGACAGATGGCCATCCAGCCTCTGTTTCAAAGCCTCCAAAGAAGGAACCTCCACCACACTCCAGGGCAGAGAGTTCCACTGCTGAACAGCTCTCACTGTTAGGAATTCCTTTCTCTAATAAGACTTTATTTATATTCCACCCTATCTCCCCCAAGGGGACCCAGGGTGGATTCCAACAAACGAAAAGGCAAATGTTCAGTGCCTCAATGCAATAACAAATAGTAAGGTAAAGGTTTTCCCTGACATTAAGTGCAGTCGTGGCTGACTCTGGGGGTTGGTGCTCATCTCTATTTCTAAGCCAAAGAGTTGTCCGTAGACGCCTCCCAGGTCATGTTGCCAGCATGACTGCATGGAGCACCGTTACCTTCCCACCAGAGCGGTACCTATTGATCTACTCACATTTGCATGTTTTCGAACTGCTAGGTTGGCAGAAGCCAGGGCTAACAGCAGGAGCTCACGCCACTCCTCGGATTCGAGCCTGCAACCTTTTGGTCAGCAAGTTCAGCAGCTCAGCGTTTTAACCCACTGTGTCACCGGGGGCTCCGACAACAAATACAAATGCAACATCACAAAATAACCCAACATATAACAACACATTATAACATAACACCTAAAAATAAATAAAACATAACCTATCAGATAAATTATATCCAACCTAAACCATAAGCATCCAACATCCATAGCAAATTACAAGCGTTGAGGAAAGTTCACTAAAATATGTAAATTGATTATGTGGCCAGTGATGTTAACTGGGCTGACAGGGTCTACAAAGCCCGAGTACCATAGCAGTGCTCAGTATAGTATAGAAGTGGTATATCCTCATCTAATCCTCCTCCTCTTGATATGCTAATGAGTAAAAGTAAGTTTTCATTGACTTCCAAGCCAGGTTAATCTAATTTGGGGAAGAATCTGATTCCGGAAGCAGGAGTCAAGTTATTCCTCGAGTTAGGGACTGACTGGACAGCTATCCCGTACTCTCCCCACCCCACAGAAGTGACGTCATCACTTACCTGATCCTTGGGGTTTTTCCTTCCTACTACCAGGTGGTGTGAGCTATGAAGGAGGAGGGAGAAGGGACCTTTGCCTTTTCCCTCCTCTCATTCTCCTTCACGGGACGTGTAATACGAGGGGAAAGAGGGTGGCTGGGTGTGGGGACATCCTGTTGCTGCCGAAGTGACTCAGGGAGCTCCTATCAGACCCACTTTATTTGTCAGTGTTGAATCACCCCTTCTTAATTCAAAGCCTGACAGTTCTCCATACTCCTTCAGGATAAAATTCAAGAGCTCATCAGTATGCAGCAGGTCTTGTAGAAAGATCACTAAGTCATCCGCAAATGCTTTTAATTAAAACGTCCATATATATATATATATATATATATATATATATATATATATATATATATATTCCTTTAATGTTCTTTTCAGCTCTAATTGCTCTGTTTAGCACCTCTATCACCATTAAAAACAACTATGGTGAAAGAGGACATCTGCGTTTTAGCACCTTTCTGTATTTTCGCAGCTTGGGAGTTCTCCTGGATTCATCACTGAGCCTGGAATCCCAGGTGGCAGTGGTGGCCAGGGGAGTGTTCGCACAATTAAAACTTGTGCGCCAGCTGCTCCCGTAACTTGGGAAGTCAGACTTGGCCTTGGTGGTCCACGCTCTCGTTACATCTAGAATAGACTACTGCAACGCACTCTACGTGGGGTTGCCTTTGAAGACTGCTCAGAAGCTTCAAATAGTCCAACGAGAGGCAGCCAGGTTAATAACTGAGGCGGCATACAGGGAGCATACAACTCCCATGTTACGCCAGCTCCACTGGCTGCCAGTTTGCTACCGGGCACAATTCAAAGTGCTGGCTTTGGCCTATAAAGCCCTAAACGGCCCTGGCCCAAATTACCTGTCCGAACGCATCTCCTCCTATGAACCATCACGGAGATTAAGATCCTCTGGGGAGGTCCTGCTTTCTGTCCTGCCATCGTCACAGGTACGATTGGTGGGGACGAGAGACAGGGCCTTCTTGGTGATTGCTCCCCAGCTATGGAACTCCCTTCCTTGTGAGATCAGGTCGGCTCCCTCCCTCCTGTCCTTTAGAAGGATGGTAAAAACTTGGCTGTGGGACCAAGCTTTCGGGACAGGGCAATGAAGCGGCAGTGGGAAAGATGACAGGGCCAATTGGATTTGATGCGGATGACTAGGACGGTTTTAAATGGTGTATTTTAATATTTTCATAAATGTTTTTTAATGTTTATGTATTGTATGTGAATCTGTGTCCTGGCATTGAATGTTTGCCGTGTATATGCTGTGCTCCACCCTGAGTCCCCTTCGGGGTGAGAAGGGTGGAATATAAATGTTTTAAATAAATAATAAATAATAAATATTTTGAATGGTTTTGTCAATTCCTCACTGATCAAGATTTGGTCTGTTTAATCCATTGTTTGGAAGTTTGTTCCAAATGCTGTCTTCTCTAAGACATAAATGGTCAAGATATATTATTAAATGCTGTTTTTATATCCAAAAATATCAATGCCACCCGCTTTTCATTATGGGCCTCATAGTATTCTAGAATATCCACAACATGGCTGGTATTGTCACTGAATAACTCTTTCATTTAACTTGATCCTCATATATTAGAGTTTGTAAAAGTTTTTTTTTTTCAATCGCTTTGCTAGGAGAGCAGAAAAAATATGGTCATTATTCAATAAAGATAGTGGCATGTAATTTTTCTGGTTATTTTAGATTGTGGTGTTCTTTAGGAATTAAAGTTATATTAACCTTTCGCCAAAACTGTGGTAATTTACTTCTTAGTGAAGCATTCCTGCTTGTTGTATTGATTCCTGCTTGTTGTTAGCTCACAAGTAGTTGATCTTGTACAATCTTCAAATGTGTTGTCAGTCATGCGGCTCTGGTGCCTTTTCCAAATTTTATTTCCTCAAATGCCTCAACAGCCTCTGCCAAAGTGATTGGTTCGTCAAGCTAGAGAAGAGCTTTTGAACCATTTCATGTTGGTGGCACACCTTTATCTATGTTGTCTCAGTTGTGATAGCATTAAAGGTTGCCACATTTGCAGTCGCAGCCCAAAAAATCCAAGCTAAATTAGAAAAGTCCACAGCGGAGGCTAGAAAGGGAAATGGAGATAGTTTGGGATGATACAAATTAGACGTTTTTTATTGTTATCATGCCACTGCTACTATGGCTTAAAAGAACCAGTGTATGGAATAAGTTTTCATGTTTATATTGGAAAGTGCTTATTGTACTTTTGTATTGTACTTTTAAAGGTTGTATATTATGTGATGTCATGGCCTATGGCTGGTACAATAAACAATTCATTCATTCATTCATTCAGTTGTGATAGTAAATTGAATCGGCTTATGTGCATAGTCTAAAGCAGGTCCCAGAAGGGCTTTGGGGACATTCTACTTTTAGTGACCCCACTTCTGCAGCTTTGTGCAGCTTCTTGGTTGGAGATTTGTAGAGCAGCCACTTGGACATCTCCATCTTCTTTATTTATTTACAGTATTTATATTCCATCCTTCTCACCCCGAAGGGGTCTCAGGGCGGATCACAGAACATACATATGCGGCAAACATTCAATGCCGTTTTATACACAAACAAGACAGACAATTGTACATAGAAGGAGGTATATATAGGCTTTTCCCCATTCTTGGCATCTTGGAGGCTTGTGCTTGGTTCCGGCCATGGGGGCAGGGGGCAGGTGCTCTCGCTCTATCTCCCTTTTTTGATCGGTTCACCAGCATTTTCTGGCATTTTCCCTTTAGGTGCCTTAAAATACTTCTTCTGCATTTAAGTGGTACCTATTTATCTACTCACATTTATTTGCTTTGGAACTGCTAGGTTGGCGAAAGCTGGGCTCAAGGCCATGAGCTCACCCTGACCCAGGCTTCGAACTGTCAACCTTGTATTGGCAAGATTTCCTGCAGCTGGTGGTTTAACCTGCTGTGCAAATCCCAGCCCTTCTCTTGAAAAACATTACCAGATTGACAAATTTGGTTCAGCCTTTTAGTAGGCATTTTCTGCCACAGGCTGTGTCCTTACAGTGGGTGGATGTCTGCCTTAGGGGTGTGGTGACATTTGGGTAAGACCCAGCTTGCCTCCCCAGCCTGCTGAAAAAGGAGCATTGGTACTTACCATGAAGATTCCTTTTCAGCCATTGGAGAGATGGAAGTCTTCCCACCCTAGTTAGTGTGTTTTTGTGTTTTTCATGCCACTGGTGGTATCCCCCCCCCTTTTGTTTGTCTGAAGCATTGCCATTCCATCACTGGATAGGTGGGATTAGCTCTCCACCTTAAGGTGATAAGCTTAGTTGACAAATGAGAAGCACAAAGGAGGAACCAGGCCTAGCTTGAAGGATTCCCTTCCCACAGGTGCTGAAAAGGAATCATCACTGTAAGTGCCAATGTTCCGCATCTGCTCTAATACATGCTTGTATCCGCATGCAGGAGTTCGGGAGTCTGTGTCCTTAACAGCCAAACCTGAGATATCGAAAACAAATGACCAGCCCGTCTTGCTGGACTTGCCAGAGAATCGTTCCACTATCCCGTAAGTTAAGCCTGCAACCACACCATGTCTTTCAGTGGAAATGAAATGAGATGCGTTTGACAAAGAACTGTCAACTCAGAATTATTGTTTGATCTGAGTTACTGAATTCAAAGTTTCAGTTTGGGATGCAACTGCTTTGTGTGTGTGAGAGAGACAACATGGTCACTGGGAGTCCTATGAGCGCCAGTACAAAAAGTAACCTTTTCAACCAACAGCTATAGAAACAAGTACCAACATTTTCAATGCTCAGACTGAGGTTTTAATTTACAACAATGCAGTTCATCAAAGTCCTAACAAAAAGTTTGACATGTCAGTGGAAGCATTTGGCATCCTCTAGTTCAGTGTTTCTCAACCTGGGGGTCAGGACCCCTGGGGGGTCATGGGGTGGAGGGTCAGAGCGGTTGCCAAAGACTATCAGAAAACAGATTTTTTTCTGTTGGTCATGGGGGTTCTGTGTGGGAATTTGACCCAATTCTACCATTGGTGGGATTCAGAATGCTCTTTGATTGTAGATGAACTATAAATCCCAGCAACTACAACTCCCAGATATCAAGGTCTATTTCCTCCAAACTTCACCAGTGTTCACATTTTGGCATATTGAGTATTTGTGCTAAGTTTGGTCCAGATCCATCATTGTTTGAGTCCACAGTGCTCTCTGGATGTAGGTGAACTACAACTCTCAGACTCAATGGTCAATGCCCACCAAACTTTCCAGTATTTTCTCTCAGTCATGAGAATTCTGTGTGCCAGGTTTGGTTCAATTCCATTATTAGTGGAGTTCAAAATGCTCTTTGATTGTAGGTGAACTATAAATCCCAGCAACTACAACTCCCAAATCACAAAATCATCCCCCCCCCCAACCCCACCAGTATTCAAATTTGGGTGCATCAGGGTATTTGTGCCAAATTTTGTCCAGTGAATGAAGATACATCCTGCATATCAGATATTTACATTATGATTCATAACAGTAGCACAATTACAGTTGTGAAGTAGCAATGAAAATAATGCTATGGCTGGGGTTGCGGCATTAGGAAGGTTGAGAACCACTGTTCTCGTTTAATGTTATTTTTAAGAGAAAGAACATGCAAATGGTGTTACTTAAGATTTCAACATCATGAACCCTTTGGACTCATCAACAGTAGTGAGGAATCCTGGTGCTAATTCGGGACCTTTTATGGACCCAAAATTGCCTTCTGGGATTCCATAGACCACCACACCTCGTTCCTGAGGACACGATCATGTGCTAGTTTTCAGGGTTTAGCATCTGGCATTGCCCCTGAAATGTGTCCCTTAATTTCTTAATTGCCCTACAAAAACCATGCTGGCTAAGGACTGTTGATGCATCTGGAGGGCACCAGGCTGGGGAAAGTTTTCTATGCCATACATTAAATCTAGAACCTTTATATTCATGAGGGCTGCTTCTGTTAGCCAGAGAAGGTACAGCTCCCTTTTTCTAGGAAAACTCTTAGCTTTGCAACCATTATGACACTGCTCTCCAACATCAAGAGAATTTCAGCTTTCCCTCCATGCCCTCAAGTCATCTTATATCATGGGAGTCTTCTTTGCACAACAGGATAAACTCTTCCTCAGTCACCCTCGGGCAAAGCTTCTCTCGAAATTTTAATCAGGCTCGTTCCTTTCTTTGCGATGGCTTCGCTCGCTGGTTCTGTCATCCTCTGTGAGGCAAAGAATTCCTTGGTGACTTTTCAAGAGCAAAGTTGGGGACAGGGAAGGACATGCTCATGGGAAAAGAAGAGCTTCTGCAATTTAAAGATTACTTTGTGTACTGGTGGCATTTGCCAAATTAAGCTTGAGATCTGGCCCGTTTCTTCTTCGTCCCATCTCACCGATCCGAATGTGCTCGCGTGACTTTCTAGCGGCTGCCCCAAGCAATGTTAAAACCGACTGCTGGTGCTCGTTTTAATTCTCTTGCTTTTTGCCGCATGAAAGCCAGATTGTTTACATCCTTTCCTGTTCATTAGCCAGCTTGAAAAAAAAAGACACAGCAGCAACTGACAAAATGAAACAGGAATTGGAATCTCCTCTGGAATACAAGAGATCAAACTGAGGTGTGGCCTCCATCTCACACTTTCCCTTCTTTTTCTGAAAAGTACAGGGTGCACACACGATGCACATGTTTCTCCATGAGATGCACACAAAAAGCACAGAGCGTCATGTGATCCTACCTGTCTAACTTGCATGCATAGAGTCAGATGCACCGTTCCCCCCCCCCCCCTTTATGATTTATTTATTTATCGTATCAGGAGCAAACCAAGGATACAGTTGTGATGAATTTGACAAAACACAAAGTTTAAAACCTTGGCATTATATTAAATGTCCTATAAGGTGTTGCCTATAAGAAGGTCCTCCATTGTGCATGTGGCAGGGCTCAGGCTGCATTGTAAGAGGTGGTCTGTGGTTTTGTCTTCTCCACACTCACATGTTGCAAGTCGCTTCTGGAGTGAGAGAATCAGCCATCAATTAAGACGTTGCTCAGGGGACACCCGGATGTGTTGTAATCCTGCGGGGAGGCTTCTCTCATGTCCCCCCTTTGTGATAAGGTCCATAGTTGCAAATTTGAGTGAATTGGAGTGAGGGAGAAAGGGGCTTTGAATTGTAAGAGAGCTGCTCTCTCTCCAGTTTGGAAAAGCAGCATATATCACAAGGTCAAAAGATGTTAATAAGGAATTTTCCATCTCCCCCCCCCCCTCTCTCTCCCTGCCAGACAACACAGATCTGTAGCTTTAATTTCAAGAAATTCAGGGACTTTGGCTCCTAATAGAGTTAAATCCCATTTATTTCTGTCTTCCTTTGAAATTGTTGTGCATTAATAGGGCACAGTGTGCTATGAAAAAGACCCTACATTGAGCAGGTGAGCATAAAACTACCATACAGGTGAGGAGGGGTGAGTAGAGGCTGTTCAGGTGATGACGCTGCTCTCAGCTCAGAAAGAGGACAACGCATGGGTGGTATTTACAGAAGAAATGCAGCCTCTTTTTCTTGTCTTTGGAAGCCCATTCTAGCTGCATCTTCATCATCTTTGTCTTTGAATTGCCTCCCTACTCACCTCTCCTTTAAGAAGTAATCATGGGGAGCCCTCCTGCCGCTTGACAGCTCACAGGGAGGAGGTTTACTATTGAGCACAAAAGGCTAGAGGATAGCTCCTTGCTCCCCCCCCCCCCATCTAAAAACAGACATACCGTAGATACTCGAGTATAAGCCGACTCGAATATAAGCCGAGGCACCTAATTTTACCACAAAAAACTGGGGAAACTTATTGACTTGATTATAAGCCTAGGGTGGGAAATGCAGCAGCTACTGGTAAATTTCAAAATAAATTTCAAAATAAAAATAGATACCAATAAAATTACATTAATTGAGGCATCGGTTGGTTAAATGTTTTTGAATATTTACCGTATTTCAAAGAAAATCAGTAATCTAGCTCTGTAAGTGGAAAAGTAGGGTCAACAAAAACAATATGGTATCAATAATAATAATAATAATAATAACAATAGACAATATCCCACCCTATCTCCGCATGGGGACTCAGGCCAGCTTCCAACGTAGTAACAGGCAAACATTTAATGCCTATATAAACAATGCAGAGCTAGATATTGATCTATAATTATATATACTAATTTCACATGTGCATTTCCCTCTGAAATGTTTGCAAATCCTCTCTATATATACGTGCATTTCCCTCCAGCAATATTTGCAAGCCCTATATATCTATGTTTATATCTATCTAGACATATCTCTCTATACATGTGTGTGGGCATTTCCCCTACAATATTTGCAACCCCTATATATCTAAATTCATATATATCCATCTAGACATCTCTCTATATATAGATAATTATATTTATATAGGATTTGCAAAGACTTGCAAACATGAGAGGGGAAAATTCATACTGTATATAAAATTATTTATATATACACACACATATACATACACACACAGAGAAATATATAGATACATAGGTACCTCTATATATTTATTGATATCTGTATCTATATAGGATTTGCAGAGACTTGCAAATTTGTGAGGGGAAAATTCATATATAAAAATAATGTATACATATAGATACAGATATGCAGGTACGTGGAAATCTCTATATATCTATATGTATATAGGATTAGCAAAGACCTGCAAACATATGAGGGGAAAATGCATATTTAAAATTAATGTAGATAGATAGCTAGATACAGAGATATCGGTACATAGAGATTGCAAATGCTTGCAGGGGGAAATGCCTATATATCTGTAGGAGAGATTAACAAATAGTTCAGGGGGAAATGCTTTTATAAGATTAATGGATATTCCTGATTTACAAGGGCTTCTCAGCCTCTCGAGGGAGTCTTTGAAAAAGAAAACACTGTTAAGAGAGGGGAAGAGAAGAAATAAATCGTATATTACAAGCAATGGCCTCCAGGTTCTGCTGCCCAGGCTTGACCCCATTATAAACTGAAGAAAGATTTTTCAGCCCAAAAAAAGGGCTGAAAAACTTCTTTTTTTTATTAAATCATCTTTATTGTTACAGTTTTTCTTATTTTGTATACAATGCAGAGGGGGCAGGGATGAGAAAGAACAATCCATAATTGAGTATGTTGTGTGTCGGGGAATGGGATGGGGGATGGGCAGAGGCGGCCCTAGGTAATTTTCAACGGTAAGCAAACAGTATTTTCCCCCCCCCCCCAATCAATCACTGATATATATTTTCTGTTCGTCGTGGGAGTTCTGTGTGCCATATTTGTTTCAATTCCATCATTGGTGGAGTTCAGAATGCTCTTTGATTGTAGGTGAACTATACATCCCAATAACTACACTTGCCGCACTTGCTCCCTTGCCTGGCCCGCTTTGGGTCCGGAGGCGTGCCTGAAGACCCCGGCGTGTGCACCAAAAGTCACCTCTTCTCCTGACTTTCTCCTCAGCCATTGGGACCAAGAGAGAGAGAGAGAGAGGTAAAGATGCCCACCTTTCCTGAAGGTAAGCGCAAAAA